TTGGCCAGAACCCCAGCAACCACAGGAGCTTGTGGACATGGTGCTAGAAGGATGTGCCTCTCCTTCAACTGGCCCAAATCCTCCAGTATAGGCCTGTGGTGCCTGTGACACACTGTAATATAAGATGAGTGACTTGAAGGTAGGCAGGTCACAGGAGTCTGTCTAGACTGCCTCATTCTCTCCCACATGCAGCTGGAGTCTTCACATGTGCAGGCTGTGATGTGAAAAACTCACAGCACTCTTCTAAATCAGGTATTTACTGTAGAACAAAAAACACAATTATGGCATGATCAGTCAAGAGATATGTGAATGTAAAAAATCAACCCACACTGATTAAACACTGACCCATGAAAAACATGAAAGATCTTATTAAAAACATTTATTTAACTCTTGCATGTCTTAAATTAAGAGCCCACTATAAAGAATTAGATACATTATATGATATTTTGGGTTTTTTTGCTTTGTAGCTAAACAAAGTATCTATCATCATCTTGAGGAGATGAGGTACATTTTTTTATGACAGATTTAGGTGAAACATGTCTAGGACTACACTGCCTATCAACAACACTAAAGTTGCACGGCTGCATTCTGTTTCATTTTATAAAACCTAGAATTTGAGGAAGAATAGATCCTGTCAGAAAGCACATTCCAGTCTAAACTTCTAACACACATTCTATGTTCTAAACTTAAATGTACATTTTCTATTCTGTTTAGTCAGAGTTCAAAGATAATTGCTGGTATCACATTGGAAACTCATTGCAGAGGTAAGCAAATATGACAGTAAAGTTATTTTCAAAGCTTTTTGGTGTTTTTGGAAGATATATCCTTTCTTAAATTGTGCTAGAACAGCTAAACCACTCTACTCTCTTTTATACAGAAACAACATTTTCAAAGTCTACACACTTTTAAAACCCTAATAAATTCTCTCGGCACTGCAGTATACAGAAACTTTTGTTTCAATTTAAGGCATGTCACAAAACATATACACTTACATGTAGTAGGTGCCTACTGCTAATGTCATTCAGATTCTGTCTAGGTAAAAAATATTCTTCGGGGAAAAAAACGTATAAAAATTGTACAATGTAAAGACTTTTGCACACTGAAATTCAATGGAAGATTCAGTGCAGATTGAGTAGATTGAGTACTGTCCATCATTTACCACATTAACATAGTCACCAATATAATTTTAACTGTGCTTTACTACATTACCCTAAAGAAACTATAGATATGTGTTATCCATGAAGGCCTAGTGCTATCTCTATAGCCTCTGCAGGAAGGTGTGCCATTTAAAAGACTCAAGAAGAAGAGCACAGCAGTAATGCTATAAATTATCCTCAAGCTACGTTTATTAACTGCCCTAAGCTCTTCCTGTCACTTGGAAATTGGTTTTAAAAAATAGTGGCCTAAAAACAGCAAGCTATTTGCTGCAGACATAAGTTATTTGAAATATACGAAGCTGTCTTGCACATGTGCTGTTACACTAGCAGTTAATGGTATGTTTAGATAGTCTTGGTGAGTTCAGACTCCCAGTGCTCTACTTCATGTTCTGCGTACTGACTGAGGTTGTGCTATCGGGATGAAAAATGCTTCGCTGAAGAAGGAGGGAAAGCTCAAACAAACTGCTATCAAACAGGGGGTTTTCCCTCGAAAGCATGAAGCTGTGCAAATGATCTCCCACCAATACTTTCTCATCTGTCATGCTCACAACAAACATCTCCACATCTCTTTAATTTATTGCTCTATTTGATCCTGCTGCTAGTACTGCTTGAGGCATTAATGACTTGAAATACTTCCCTTTGACTGCAACTTTAACACAATTTGATTTGTTAATGTTGTTGTTTAAAACGTGGATATTAATTTTTTCACTTTTTTTTTAGTTGGAAAGAGTTTCATTTGCAAGTCAAGGTTTTAGAGAATGAAATCAAAGAATGGCTTGCTTTCTTCTTGCCTTGAGATCCGGGTGATTTATGGATACTGATCCAAGGAGAATTACTTCCTTTTCCGCGAGGAAGAAAACTGGCGTGCCACACACACTATTTATTTTTGCCATTTGCAAAGTCAGTTTCTAGATCACCAGTTTCCCCACCCCTAATAAAACTAAAACCTTGATTAGGAAAACACTTTGATTTATCTATTTTATTGCCCCTCTGTAATATCATATTAAAGTGATTATTACAAAATGTCAGACTGCAATTTGGAACACAAGTACAGTACATAAAGGTAGTGATGGCTAGTACTCAATGTACAGTGTTGTGCATATTTATACTGTATAAAATACACTTGAGATAGAAAATAAACAAATATGTTAATATTATTGATTCAAATACATTTTTATTTAAAATAAAAAGAAAATGTTTCAAGCAATTGAGGCTCAAACACACTTAATGGTATTTTGGCATTGTTCACTTCTGTTTTTTGTCTCAAATGTTATATACACTTTGAGATTATTATTACATATTTCAAAAGAAAACACACCAAAGGGTATGTTTTCCATTTTACCTGTTTATTTTTAATTGAACATTTCCCCCTGGTAAGAAAGAATGTATTCTCCTCGGAGAACTGCAGATGGATTTCGGAACGTGACTGAACCGAAATTGTTGTGACTAAATTTAATGTTTGGACAACAAATTAACAACACAATATAATAATGTAAGAAAAAAAAACCAAGTGCTTTTGCCAAAGCCTACCCTCGGACAGGCTGCTGCAGGAAACCTGCGGGCCTGTGCAGTAGGCAGCTCTGTGTGTCTGATGTCAGGAAACAGTAGGTCCACCTGATGCCATTGAAAGGAATGCAGACATTACTAGGGAGTGATCACTTTCTTAGCAGCATCCCACACAATCACATTAGATTTGCTGCACATATAAATCTAGTGAAGAGTAGTCACTAGGCGTCACTAAAACTGGTGAACATTGGATATTTTCCCTCAAAAGAGTAGACTTGAAGATACATGTCCCAACAAAAACCAGCTATATCCAAACACTCCTCCATGAGGTGAAAACAAATTTGAAAATTTGGCAAAATCCAGCAGTTAATGGCCTGGTTGTTTACATTAAATAATTCCAGCGTGTTTCTCAAAAAGAGCAGGGGTATTACTGCAGTGACCTGGCCAAATTTCCCAATGTCCTAAACCAAACATGGCCTCCTAATAATCCCCCTTTATGAATTGGCTTCCTCACTCTGTTCTCCTCACTGAGAGCTGGTGTGTGGAGAGTGTACTGGCACGCTTGGGCTGCCAGCACATCATCCAGGTGCATGCTGCACATTGGTGGTGGTGGAGGGGAGTCCCCATTATCTGTAAAGCGCTTTGAGTGGAGTGTCAGGAAATTATTATTATAAAATGTAGAATATTTACATGTAGAGTCTGAAATGGTGTAGCGATTTGGATTGTGTGATAATGCAGGCGTTTCAATTGTGACACAGTGTGTACAGCAAGGCTTTGCCTTTTCTGTCCGAAAGTTCATATACGGTATGTTAATTTAAATGAACAGTATAGCCAGACTGACTTTTCCATTTGTACATATATTTCAGAAAGATTTCCATATATCTGACCAAAAGTGCAAATCTTCTTTTGCAACATATATCTGGCATTTGTATTCTTATTTCTTGATTTATAGAGGAACAAAACATTACAGTAAGTTAATATTTGTACATTATTGAAACAGAGAACATGCGTTATCATGCCATAACAAAAATGCCAATTCATTAGATTTTATGTTACCACATATCACAACTATAGCTGATTTTCTTTGAGAAATAATTTTCCAACAACAGAATGTTAAATAAGATTGAATTAATTAATTTGAGCCTTCATGAAAACAAAAACAAAAATACACACATCAATCATGCAGAAGTACTGTAGGTCATGTTGAAATGAAGCATGACTATTAAAAACTTTGTAACATTCATAATTTACTTTTTGTAAAAAGTAAATGTGGAAATTCCAGATACAACTGGGTACTGTAGTAGCAGTAGAGTACAGCTAAAAACACTTCTCGTGGATTATTTCACAAGTTTTGCTTTTTTCTTTAAGAAGTAAGATTTTAGAAAGAGGAGATGCCATTTAGAATTCCTACAGAAAGCAAACCAGGTAAAAATGAGCGTTGCTGTCTGCAACAGGAATCACGTTTGACTTCCATCTCTGATCTAGTGTTTGTTTTGAACCTCTCTTATCGGCATGACGTTGAAACTTTTTTTAGCTAATCGAACCAGGTAAGATATCACAAGTCGACGCCGCATCCCTGTCTCCTAGCTGCAGGCAGCCCCTTCGACTTCTTTTATTCTTCGAAACAACATAACACGAAGGCATCTCGAAACTTCAGGAAGTGGCAACATGCTTTTAAGTCAGCACATGCCCACGCCGTAAAAAAACTCACTAGGCGTCTTTGTCTCCCATTTTAACAGCCCACATAGCTCTCACTCATCACTAACCATTTGGTTTGCTTTTATGGCTGTTTAAGGGCTAGATCGCGGTGGTGGGCGATGACAGTAAAACTTTAAAGTCCACTTTGTGTTACTTCTTTTAAAAAAAAAAAGGCATCTCGGACTGGATGGAGCTTTTCGCAGCCATACAAAATTATTTTCTGTCGTGCTTTCTGCGCACAAGTATGTATTACATTTATAACGAATCGTCTGTCGACTAAGTCTTTTTTTTTATTTCAGCCGTATTAGCTGTAACACCCGGCCATGGCTACATAAGTTTCCAAATACAGTTCGCAGCGTCCCTGCGAGGAATGTGGACAATGAAAACTGTACTTCGGTTTTTCGCTCCAGTTGGTTGAACCCCCGATTAAATCCGAGTTAAAAAGGGATGCTTTATGTATTTTAAACATGTATTGACTTTGTGTTGAGGCAAAACAACAACAACAACAACAACAAAAATAACCCGCCGACTAGTCGCTGCTTGTCTGCTTGCAGCCGCGGAGCTGGAAAGCGGCTGCTAGTTGAAGCTGTGTGAGAATCCTGGGACTTGGTGATGTCAGACTGGTTGGGTCATTTGAAGGTTAGGAGCCTCGGAAGGGTTCATAGAAAGTTCACTCGCATATATTAGGCAATTCAATCTTTCATTCTCTGTGACAAAACTAGTAGGAAGTGAGCTGTATGGAGGCAGGATAACCCATTCGTCATTGAAGGGGAGACGGCGTTTTAAAACGCGAGCTATAATGTTTTATAAACATTTGTTATCCATCGCTTTCGATTGAAAACAACCTGTTTTTGTTTTGCTAACCGGGGAGGTCGGATAGTCCTTTTCCTTTTAAGCTGAATCCATCGCGATACAATTGGGAAATATCGCGAACACCCCTTTTTTCTTCAGTATCTGGGCTTCGTGGAAAATGGTAAATGATCATTTGGATCAATTACAGGCTTTTAGTTGTGTTGTCTGTCATAATTCATGATTCTAGTCTGGGAAAAAGACCAAGATCTTACGTGCCAAAAAAGGGGCAGAGTTTGATGGAGTTGGTTCCACTTTTACATGCAATTTCCCTCCACACCTAAAAGGAAAAAACACTTTTTGCAGACAGTCTGCAGAGGCTCATCATGTTTGATTGTATGGATGTTTTAGCAGTGAGCCCTGGGCAAATGCTGGATTTCTACACTTCAGGTCCTTCTTCATGCATGCTCCAGGAAAAAGCTCTGAAAGCATGCTTCAATGGACTGGCACAATCAGACTGGCAGCATCGACGGAGCGCTCAGTGTAGGTTCAATTTCTTTCCCTTGTATGTGTATATATATACCGTATTTCTGTTATGTCTCACAAGCTTATTACAGTATATACTGGCAAAAATAATGCAGCGCTGTGCCGTTAACTTACAGTGTTACAGTGCAGTTCTTCACTCATCCCGGGAGATTTACTGTAATGTGCATAATGTCTTGTATGTTCCTCTAAAATATGCAGAGGTTGTAAAAAAAAAATAATTTACAGAGCACTGTCTCAGCACACAGACTGTCGACCTTTGCAAACTAAAAGCGTTCATATAGAAAAGACTTTCACCATATTCTTTTAATTAGGGCGCCTGCTATATACCGTATGGCGGCTGTTTGTCTCTGTGTTTTCCTACATGAAATTGGAATTTTGAAAGGACCTACAGATATTATGATCTTTGTTTGCAAAAAAAAAAACACGTCCAAGAAAAGTTACTTGTTTTTTTGCGGTCACTCTGCACTGTGCACTTAATAGTTTTTTTCCCTAGATATACAAAAACTGTTATTTATTGTGACTTTTCTGTTGTCTTCCCCCCCTGCAGAAGAACGTGTTATGACAACCTCGTCTAATTATTTGTATCAATTATTTTTCCAAAGGAAGCTATTGCAACAATTTGATATATGTTGTGTGTTACCTGATCCTGGCACAATGTTATGGAATGCAAATGGTAAATACTGGCAGTGTTTCAGCACCAATGCTCCAAGTTTGAGAAATGACAAGGGGCGCCCAGCTCTTCAGTGCTCTGCGGACCCTGCAGGATGCTGTTCGGCTTTGACACTGATTTAGATAAATTGCCTGCCGACTTTTCAACAAGGTTACAATGTGAAAACTCCAACCTTTGCATTGTACGCTTGCAGTTTTACTTATTGACAGCTCTTTTCGTGTTGATCAATGGCCAGATTCTCAACACATTCCAGGAATCCGAGAACGAGTTTTCCGCTTCTGGTTGCTCTTACAAATCTGACCTGACACCAAAAACGTTAATTCTCCCTGCCTGGACCAAAAGCTAGTTGAATAAACTGTCCTAAACAACATTAGCAAAAGATAAAATGAACTATGTTTGCATAGCTGTTTGCGGGCTAATTTACTTTGATAACATAAAAAAACATCAATGACAATGAAGTCAAGCACTGCTGGCTCACACTGAAGATTATTTACTCTAGCACCACTAAATCAAATACGACTGGCCTTATCAGAAAAGTGCAAGTGGTGAAGGCGTCAACAACTTTTTGCTAACACTGATTTTGATATTTTTTTTACAACGCCTGAACGTTATTTCGGTAGAAATTCGAAGTGTTCAGTGATAAACTAAATATTAATATACTCCACACAATGTGAATATGTCGATAAGTATTAATTTTATCAATTGTGTGAACGTTTTTTACGAATTTTATTTTATCGAGACAGGTACACAGGCGAGCACGTTTGGTGTGCAGCCCGTGTTTTTCGATTTCCTGATTGTCGCTTGTATTTATTTCACCTTTATATCTGAAACCAAAAAAAAAACATTGACTCCAAATAAATTCATGCAGCAGACTAAATTGGTTAACCTTGCTATGAAGGAATAAATACTGTAAAATAGTATTTTCCTGCCGAAATTGCTCCTTTCTAAATCATTGTTATCATGTTTTATCCTGTAAAATTGCGTTAAATAAAAATATTTATGCGCGTCTTTCTATGCGTTTATGATACCACATTTACAGTATCTGTATAGGGGTTATTGAAACAGGTTTGTTTCAACTGTTCCAAGTGGCACTATACAAAGCGAAACGGTGCATTGTTGCGATATCTATATTTTAAAAAACGCGAATGCAAAGCGTTTTGATAAGCTGACTTATTGCCCGTTTACAAGGATTTTCAGTGCAAGGTGTTTGTCCTTTATTTCTTGTTATTGTCTTCACCACAGTGTAGGGTGCACCAGTAATAGAACTATTTGCATCGATGGCACAGCGTGTTCAGGAAAGCGACAATATCCACGGGTAGAAGCCTGCTGCCTAATAATTTATTTTGCTAGACTAAATAAGATTTGTTAGGACAGTCTGATAAGGTATCCAACAGCCTTTCGATGTTTTCACAGGTCATTTCTTTACGTTTGACTGTATTGTTTAAGTAACCAGGAGAAATTAAATCATATTAAACATTAAAGGAATTTATCACTAATTACTGAGCGTAAGTGCATTTGATTTGCATTTCAATGAATCAGAGAATAATTTGCATTAAAGCACATGTGCAAATGGAGGAGATAAGGCAATGTTTGTATTAAATCTGCAAGTCAATGAATTGGAACAAGATAATGTAGATGAAGTCCTTATTCAGTTTTTTTATATAAATGAGGCTTTTGTGAGAGAACACTTGGGACTATCTTCTTTCATGGCCAAATAAGATTCTGTTTTAATTTATGCTTTCATTTTAAAAGGCTGTTCTTACAAGGGTCATTGAAACATCAAAGATATTTTTTTGTTTTTTTTTGTGAATAATGAAGGCTTGAAGAGTATTAATTAACTAAATTAAACATGAGTGCAAATTAAATTTAGTTCCCGATTTTCTGTTTCCATTTTGGTGCGCAAAATATTTATGAAATCCTATAGAACGCCCAAAATAACGTTTTGTAATAGGTAGTGCATCGTTTCTGTGCTTAAATGTACAACATCCTTAAGATCTCCTTCATGTTTTACATAAACTGTAAGAAAAGTTAAATGTGCTGATATTTGCACTATGCTGTGAACTGCAGACCTAAAACATTTCTTTTCAGTCTCACAACAAGTATCTTTGTTTTCCAATGCCTTCTCCAAAACATGTCTTTGGAATTCCGTTTGGTTTAAAATGTATAATATTGAAATAATCAATGCAATTATTAGATTTATTTCGACCAGAAATCAGATATACAGAGATCTTCACAAGCTAAAACTCTTTACTTGTTCAGGGGTGGTGGTGTGAGTCTGAAAGTGTCCAGGAAATATATTTTCAGTTATTAGGTTGAGTCCAACTTGCTATTATTTTATGTAAATAAGCACACAACATGATTATATCTATTTTTTTTAATTTTGTTTGGAAAGCGGTCCAAATTTCTCTAAGCATGTACTCTTTACAATATATGAACATTTTGAAATTATATTCCATGAAAAGTAAGGTATGGCAAACCATATACCTGTAAGTACAGCTCATTTAGGAGTAAAACAAAATAGCATTTTTTTTTCTAGTAGGAATATATAAATGTGTCCTGTGGAGGTGTTTTATTACAAATAATATACTGATGAATTGCTTTTGCAATTTTGAAGTGTCGTATAGTAAGTGTTGTAAAGTAAACATTCAGATTTTAAGTATCCTAAGTGGTAAGCATTATATAGGCAAGGGAATGTTATTTTCTGTGCATGACTTTATTTAAACAGCGTGATTCAGTATGACCGAGCTTTAACTTATTGAGCCCTTGAAGATCTGGTGAACTGTTACCTGTAGTAATGTGGGAGCCCCCATTTCTGATGTATTGACTTTCTTTTTCTTGTCTGTAGTAATGTAAGAGACTGTCTAGTAACAAATAGAGAGCATTGTCCAGGTAAAGATGGCTGTGCTGCATATTGTCATGTGTGTTAAAATTTCCTGTATAAAATTTGAAGACAATTAAAAAATGTCATTATGTTGTGCATTCAGCTGGGATATGGGTATTTATTTGTTGACAGTCAGACCCCATATATAAATATTTGTTCTTTTTCATTCATCAGTCATCTTTACAATATTAATACACATAAATGGATATATTTTAGAATATTTACAGCTCTCTGTGCATAAGCATTCTGGCAACAGGAATCCATTGAAGGCCACAAGTTACATAAATTGTAGTTGTCAATATTGACTGCAAATGGCTCTACAATTATAGGTGTACGGGAAAGCTATCAAATTCAGTATATTAGTCTGTTGGGCCCTAGAAGTGTAGAATGTTTTCTTCCTGCTGTAGTTTACATGATCGATATTAACTGCCCCATTGAAACTAAATGCTGTAGCCCAAAACAATAAATCAGACAAATGTACTTACAGATTACTTATTGAGGGGTTTAATTGTTCACAAGGGAACGACTGAAAAACAATGGAAACTCCTCCTTCAAAAACTGTATGCCATGTCTATCAGCTATAGCTAGTCTTTGTTTGAGGTACATTGACGATCGAGAACTTTGTGCTCTGAAAGATAGCTTATTTTCTGATGTACCGCGTGTTGTGTCTGTGGGGGATGTTGATGAGCTGTCGATTTTACTGTATATATTCAGATTGTTATTTTATCCTTTATGCTTTAATATCGCAAAGAGGAACATGTTGTTCCTTCCTTTGCCTTGTGCCTGCTACTTTGTTTTTGTAATACGTCGTTTTCTTTTAGACCCCAATTATTCGTTCAGATAACGACTTCTATTTTTCTATCTTTAACATCAGTCCACTTCTGGATATAGACAAAGGCTTTCTGTAGGCAACTGTATTCAAACATTCCCAACCAGTTTGTCCCAGCAAAAACTGCTCAATTGTATTTTACTTTTTTGCAGGAAGACTTCTCCTTGATTTTTTTCCTGTCTCGTGGGATCCACTACGTTATTTTTAATGTCCTGTGATGATCCATCTGTTAGAGTTTCATTATTTAAGATGCAAGTTTGGAACTGGTAAAATACATCACTTATACAGGCCCTGATTGGTTATAAAATGTGCTCATTTTTAATTGAATCACTTGTTCAGGAGAGCTGTCCCCCTGCTGTTCTGTATCTGCTAATAAATATTAAGCTGTTCTTAGTGAGCACAGGGAAAACTCCAGCTGCATAATTCTTTTTTTTTCAAACAGTTAATGCCGATTTATGTTTTACCATGTGTTTGTAGAGGTATTTTGTTTTCCTCCTCAGTATTGACCTTAGTGTTGCTCTGTAAACAGTCTGTAGTAAATAAAGCCCCAGGCAGTCATCTTCAAGATTAGAATTCGATATTAGTACACTAAAACCCCTAATAAGTTTTTGATCACA